TTAACATTTTCTTAAAATTGTAGAGCTTTTTTTGAAAAAAAAATGTATTTTTAAATGTTTCCAAATGGAAAGCCAAATATTATTACATTTGAGGACAATTATTATTATTATATTTTTTTTTGTGGGCATATACCAAAAAATATTTTTTACAATTTTTGAATAAATATTTTGTTAAATGTTTTTATATGCACATATTATTACACGTGAAGCAAAAAAGTGTTTATTAAATTTTCTTTAAATCTATAAAAATGTGAAATCAGAAAGAATTTTATGCCTAAAAATTAGCCCTAAAATATTTTATTCACACTAACACAAGATTTGGGAAAACATATCTATAAAAGATAAATATTCATGTTCGATCAATTGTTACAAAACAAAATTTAATTTATGCCAATTTAAAAAAAAATAAAACGAAAACTCTTAAAATATATTTTAATATATTGCTACGCAATTTAAATTTGCTGCACAACCAATTTTTGGACAGTATTCGTTGGCTCGTTTACATGTCAAAGCTCAATTTATCTAAACATTTGATAGTAAAACTAAAATGAAAATAAAAAGAAAGTCAACTATTGTGCGCTCTACGCAGCACACAAAAGCAACTACGAAATTTGCACAATTTTTCGCATGGCTGCAACAGTATATTTTTGCTGAGGTCTTTTTATTTTTTGCACCTTTTGTAAACAACGATGAAAGCCAAATAAAATAAAGAAGAGAGCGCAGCACACGTCATTCAAGTAAAAATTGGAAATGCTGTCAATGACATGAGGCAAATTGAAAACACGCAGGAAAAAAAAAAAGAGGACGACTGGCTGGCTCTGAAGAAAATTCGATGTGTGTGCGGGTGTGAGTGTGTGGTGTGTGTGGGGAAAATTGTGAGCGCTGCGCGCACATTTTAATTATCAAATGGAAGCTGCAATGGGAAATGCGCTGAATGCCTCATCAAATTTAGACCAAATCAGTAGCGGCAAATGGCTGCCAGTTAAATGGATTACAGCAGTAGAAGCTGCACCCCTGCACCCCTTCCCACACCCTAGCCATGCATATGTCCCTACACAGAGGTCTGGCTCGTGCCGCAATCAAATAACGACTTAGTGGGGCGCGAGGGGGCACTGGAATCACATAAACCATAGTTGACATGACGTTTGACTGGCCCTGGCGACTTGTGTGTGTGTCTCAGCACACACGCGTGTGTTGAATTATTTACGGTGTTAGTGACAAAGTTTACGACGTTCACGACATGAGCAAACAGCAACAAAAACAACAGGAAGAACAACAAAAAAGCTGCGAAACTAACCAAAGCTATTTGTACAGTAAATTAAGTGTGCGCCATTTTTGTTGGCCTTTGCTCTAGATCAACAGCGGTGTGTGTGCGTGCGTGTGTGTGTGTGCGTGTGTGTATGTGCGTGTGTCTGTCGATGAGACAATCATTATTAGTCAGCCAGTCTGCAAAAGACAACAACAAACAAATCGCAAAGAAACTCGGGGCTTGGCTTGGCCTAGGCCTGGAAATCAGAAATCATCTACGTGCCGACCGCCCAGCAATTTCTTATCAAATGTTAAGCTGCTTAAGGAACTGGATTTTGGACAGTTTCGTATTTGTTTAAATTAACTTGCGACAAATACAAACAAAGCAAAACCAGGAATAGCACCGAAGTTCCGAATGCCCTGGCACACAGTGGATAAGTGCAAACAGATATATTCGATGAAGTCATGTGATTTTGATTAGATTTTTATTCGATTTTAGCCTTTAGACTTCTAACTAGACTATGTTAGCTCTATATTCTTTAGAACGGACTTTGTCAAAGATATGTGTTGTCTGTAGCAAAAAGAAGCATTTATATTAATTTCCATAAATTGTATCATTTATTTAGACTAACATATATAAATATTTGCGTATATCTGAGCAGTTGACGCATGTTCGGTATTTATTAAAGATTAATAATTCATGAATATATTTTCTAAAGTAATTAAGTTCCTTGACATATTTATATGACTAAGGTATTTTGTATCATCATTTTAACCTTTTGACATTGCTTTGCATAAAATGTTTCTTTTTTATGTTTGACATAATTCACTTACTAATTAGGTCTAAAAGCATGACCTTGAGTCATTTTGCATCTTTTATTAATTTTAAACGGAACAAATTTAAATATTTATCTGTAAAGTTATCTTTTGCTAATTGTATGACCGTGCTGACCCTTTAAGCGTACTACAAAATGCCTGACATATTGACAATACACTCGGTGAGTGTATTTAAAGAAAGGAAACAAAAGAAACTCCAACGAGGCGCAAAAGTGTTGCCTAATTCGAGGCGCTGCCAAATTGGCTGCCCGCGTCCGCATAAGACTCGCACATGTGGGGCTGTAAAAATTAGCAGCGGTACGCCCACTAAATGAATGCACGCCCCTAGCCTAACAGTTTGCCTGCCTGTGACAGACAGCATTACGAGTCGGAAAAAGTTTTTGTTGAACAACTTTAGCTGGAAGTTAAGCCAAGTTGGGCCAAGTAACAGCTCAAGTTGCCAGCTGCAAGTTGTTGCAAGTCGCAAACGAATTGTGGGTCAGCATAAAAAATATGCTACAAAATAATGCAAGAAACGAAAGCAGAAGAAAGGGAAGAAAGTTTTGGCCGCAATAAAGCTATCACTTTGCAACTCACCTCAATTGATCCAACTCGCTGCGCATATCCGCATCAACGCTGGCCGCATCCGTGGTGAGCCGCAGGGATTTGCGTAAATTATGCTCCAGCAATTCGTAATCCTCGCGCCGACGCATCATCAGCGCATTCAGTTGCTTGGTCAGCAGGCGCACCTGATCACCCAGCTTCTGATTATGCGGCACATCCTGCTGCTCGTCCTGCCCCTTGTTGCCACCTAACTGAACGCCATTCGAAAGCAACTCCAGCCCCTCCTCATTATCCTCATCATCGACAAAGCGCAGCAGCTCAACGCTGGATGGTGGCAATGTTGCAGCTGCAACTGGAGCCGAGCTGCTTGCCTTGGCATCGCGCAACATGTTGTTCACATCGCTGACGACGCCGCTGGTGGCGCCACGCGCGCTTGCCACCGCCAACGAGACGATCAAGAGTATCAAACGCAACATTCTGTAGCGGCACACAAGCGCTGCGTATTTGAGTACAATTTTATTTGGCTTTACTTTAAATTCGAGTTTGAATTTGTTGGTGGCACAGTTTTTAGTATTTTTGTGGCATGGATTATTTATGCAAATGTTGGCCACGTTTCATGACGGGCCACCTTATAAAATGCGGCGCTAACAATATTTGAATTATGCGCGGCGCCTTTTCTTGTGCTGCTTGCCACACGTTTTGTTTAGCTCGCGCTGCTGTTTTGTTATTCGCCGCCGCCTCCTTCGCTAAGCGGCTTTAAGCACCCAACACAAAAACACACGCACACACGCACACTAAGACGACACGACTTTACTTCCCTTTGAGAAACAGTTTGTCTGACTTTCACTTGATTGGCTGCAGCTCGCTGCGTACGAAGCAATCGGCGCGACGTTTGTCATAGGACTAAAGCGGCGCGCAGCAGCTGCATCCTTTTTATAGCCCGCCAGCCGATGCCGACGCGTTGCGGCGTCGCTCAACTCGAAAGAGAGACAGACCGAGACAGAGAAAGAGAGAGAGAGCAAGAGAGTGTTTAAGCGAGCGAGCGCGCAAATTGTGAATGATTCGTGCGTAGTTGAAGAGCATGCAACAAGCAGCCAAAACAGGTTGTCCCAGCAGGAACAACTCGACCAATGCTAAGAGAGCGCCAAATGCGAAGGCGAGAGAGAGAGCGAGCGGGCATAAATTTAAGAGCGCACGCTCTTCATTTCCTGCAACTATGGCAACTATTGGCGTCTGTTTTGTAAGCAGCGCAGAACTATCGGTAATTGATAATAATTGTTGTTATGATTAACAATTATGTTTAATATATTTACTTAACCTTTGCTCTGCCACAAGCTCACGTGTCTTACCTTATTTTCTTTGCAGTTTTCTTCGGCTCTGGTGTGTGTCTGTGTGTGTGTGTGTGTGTGTGGGTAGTCTCTTGTTTTATATCCTTCCGCATATCCTTCTGGCACATGGCGCGCCTGCGGTGAATCAACAAGCAACAGCAGCAACAGCAGATGGTAGACCTTATGAACAGCAACACCCAAGTGTTCGGCCAGGTGAGTTTAAACGTGTGTGAGCGCGTGAAATTATTAAATGTACTTGAAAAGTAAGGATATCCGTTATAGGTATCAGCTCCTTTTTTTATACAATAACTTAATAATAATTGGATTGAATTCACTTGCACAGCTTTGCAATAAAAGCTTACTCTATTCTTATATAAGTTTAATCTAATACGCAGTCTTGCAGTTATTTACAGAGTATCTTCTAGTTCCAAGCTGCCATAAATATTAAAGAAAAATATATTATTGCTCTGGTGAAATATGCACTGCATTTTATAAACTGATGAATTTAAAAGTCCACGAATTGGTTTTCTAAACGTATCATATCTTGTGTAACCCACTAGGACAGCAAACAGCCAATTAAACCCCCTCCCACTGCCCTCACCACAAAAGGCCACCGGGTAAACTCGATGTTTGGGTAAAGCAATTCAACCTAGCTCTAATCCCTTTAAAGATGTTGTTATGCATACCTGTTAAAATTCAGATAACTAATTCTATACGTTGTCCGCATGATTCTCAGATGTTTTGAGTGGGAATTTAATATTTTTCAAATATTTTTAAGCCTTTTCAAGGCTTGTTTAATGGTTCTTGTGCAATTTTTTAAATGTGACTTCTCTTTAGATTTTCTTTGGGAATACTTTATTCTTCGACTTCACAATGTTATATCTTTATCGGCATCTTCTGCAGTTGCTCAAAAAAACAATTTTTCATATCTATTGGCGCATATTTTTGAGTTTTTGCCGAGTGCAACATTTTGAATGCAGAAAGCAAAAACTGAAACTGGGCAAAACTAAAAGCTAAAGCAGCTAAACCAAAAAAAAAAAAGAGTGCAACTGAATGAAGTTTATTTAGCGGCATTGTTGGCCAGAGTTGGTGTGGAATTTTCAGCATTTGTGCTGGGCCAGAATGGAATATGCGAAAAATGGCGCATTCGGTAGCCATGTGACGGGTGTGCGCACCTATAAACCACCAAGGAGCAGCCGGCTGCATGCGGAGCCAGGCGGGGGCAGCTGGACGGACGCCGGTTGCACCCAAAAAACCAACCCATTCTGGGTGGTGCGCTTCGCTGCACACAGCCAAAGGCGGATGCGGGGCGTCGGGCGGGGCGGAGTTGATGGCCATGTCGTTTTGGCCAGTTGCAACAGTTGCCACCTCTGCTTCTGCACTACACTCCTCTCTCTCTCTACCGCTAGCATTGTTGCCATTTTGTCTGCGCTTGTGTATTGCAATTTGCAATATTTTCGCTTTTATTTTTTAATGCAGCGTCTGTTGGGCTTGCCGCTGTAAACGAAGTTGAGCAGGGGGCAAAGTTGAGGGTCAGAGTGCTGACCAACTACATCAATGGGCTTATAATCAACTGGCAGTGCCACATGAGTTGTTGTTACTGCTGTTGTTGTTGCTATTATTGCTGCTGTTTGCATATATTTTAAGCGTTGCATGCAGTTTAGTTTTCCCTACTTTATTTTTAATTTCTGTTGCCTTTTGTTTTGTTGTCAATTTGCGGCGCGGTGTTCTAGCTTGTTGCACATTGCATTAATGCAGGCAACTCGTGCGGCTAACAGCGCATCCGGCAATTCCCCACATCCCAATATACCCAGGCAGTAACGCTAACCCCCCTACACATGGGCGTGGTGTTGATGATGGTGGTGGTTCTGCCCTTTCAACTCTGCAGCTTGCAACGCGGCAACTTGCAACTTGCTTCCATTTGCATTGCGCTCTGCGTGCTTTTTACCATTTCATTGTCGCCTGCTTCTTGCATTTGTTGCTGCTGTCTGTTTATATTGTTATTGTTATTGCTGGTTTTTATGGCGTTGTCTCTCTGCCTTATGCGGTTCACGTTATGGTCAGACCATATTAAGCTAATGGCCTGGAAGTAAACCTTCTGCCGTCTGCCTTCTGCCAGCTCGGCCCTACTGCGGCTGCTGTTGCTGCTACTGCTGCTGTTATTGTCGTTGCATTTAAGCCATTAACGCTTCACTTCGAGGTTGCGAGTACTTTTACATTTGAGTGTTTTAGAATTTTATACAAGCTATCTCAGCATGTATTCCCAGCTGACAGACAGCATACGTTGCCTAAAATAAATATTAATATTCATGCATTTAGTTTTATTGTTGGCCCAATGTTTAAAAGGAAACCTATTTAATTACATTTTTAATTAAAGATGCATTTATGTGTTAGTACTGTCGCCGTCTTTTCATTGAAAATAAAATATATTATTTCTTTCATTTCAATTGCCTACTTTGTGAATGCAAACTTTTTAACAAATTTTTAGAAAATTGATCTTTAAAAAAGTAGAACAAATTATGAAACAAAATATTTTATTACGGCTATAAGATAAATGACTCTAAATTGCTCTCCATAAAATATATATAAATAAATATTTTTTATGTGTTACATATTTTAAAAAAAAATTATAATTTTATATGCACAATACATCAATTCCCTTATAGTCTATATTATATATCGCGTAATCTGTTGTAGAAAAATATATATCTTCAATCTCGTCAATAACTAATGAAATAAAAAATCTAGAATTGATTTTAAATATTTTTTTATATTTATTCAAAATTTTTAGAATAAATAAAATCATATTTGATTCCTTAAATCCGGCTACATATGCTTGCCTATAATTTGCAATTCAAATATTGATGCCGTTTATCGCAATTAAAATAACAATCAATGCCTGGCAAAAGGTGCGCTCAAATTAGCGCAGGTGTTTTCGGAGCTGTTCTCGACTGTTTAGTGAGCTTGCTTTGATGAGGGTAAAACGCCCAGAGACGACTGTTGATTCTTTGCATATAAACATGCAGGCAGGCACAACTTACACACACACACACGCACAGTGGAACACGCGCACAGTTTGGTGACCAATTTGGGCCCGGCAACGCCTCGATACAAGCTGCAATGTGCGTGGACAGGTTTCTGGTTTCAAAGGCAAAAAAAGAAAAAAAACTCAATAAAAATACAAAACGCACGCGATGCGCCCGTCTACAGTTAACCAAAAAAGTATCTGCGCAGTCGCAGCTTGAAGGCTGCGCACTAATCATCTGGATGACGACAACAACAGCAACAATAACAACAACAGCTGAGCAATGCCAACCGGCTGCTGGCTAACGGCAGGTGCAAAAAAAATTTTTACCACTCAAACACAAAATTTCTTACCTGATTTAATCTTAGCCGCCGTTGCTTGCGTTTCGCTTCAACTTTTGTCCCATTGTCGGGTTGCCTTGTTCTTTGTCTACGTGTTTTTTTGGTTGCCAAGGTTTCGTATTGCTCTTGTTGTTGTTGCCGTGGTTGTTGCTACTCCTGTTGTTGCTGTTTTTGTTGATACTCCTGTTGTTGCTGCTGCAGTTTCTGGGTTTCATCGCTTGCTCCTTGGCATGGCATGTTGCCTGCATGCTTTGCTGCTCGCACACACATACACACTCACGCACAGACATACACACACAGCATACTCATGATGATGTTATCACTCAAAGCTGTTGCTGCATGGCTGCTTCCAGTATATTTGTTTTTGTACTTTTGTTTTCTTGGCAACACCAAACCAGGCAACAGCAGCCGGCAGCCGACAGACAGCAGGCACCAGGCACAGACACTGGCAGAGGCAGAGGCAGAGGCAGCTAGCGGCATCGAGTTTTGCTTTTAGCCAGAATTTCATGCTGCGTTCCCCTAATGAATGCCCCACGCGAATGCGAAACGCTGCCAACGCCTGACAGCTGCCTACACTGTTATAAAAAAAAAAAAAAACAAAACATGCCGAAAAAAAATACGTGAACCAATTGAAAAACCATAAAAATCCTTTAGCTATGGCACAGACTTTAGCTATGTGTGGTCGCTGGCTTCTGTGTGCGTGTGCATCTGTGTTTGTGTGAGTGTGTGTGTGTGTGTATGTGTGTGTGTGTGTGTGTGTGTGTGTGTGCGTGTGTAGTCAGAGCCGCAGCGACAGCTGCATCTACAACGCACATTCTAGGCATAAACGGCACAAAAAAGAAGCACAGTATTAAGCGACTAGCAGATACCCTGTAAAGAAACTTTGTCGTAAGTGAGCTACTGTTGTATAAGAAAGTGGACAGGCCCAAACCATGATACTAAGCTTAACATATCTAGTTTTTGTAGTCTCCAAGACTCTTTCGTTTTTATTATGAGTAGGAGCTTATATGAGAATTACACAAAATTTACATTAAAATATATTTGTTTAAAAGTACAAACCTACATCCCAAATCATATTTATCTCGCCTATGTGGGCATTAAAATAATTCAATTTGGTCTAGTCCAGAGTCAGGGCCATTGAATAGGCTCAAACAAACCTCAGGCCTTTAAACAACCTGTTACCTACACTTGCAGCAGCTGATGCAACCCATTTTAATGAGTTTTTATGGGCTGCAGGGTATGCAAAGGATGTTTTTGCAAGGCTGACTCCTCTAAAAATCCAAGCAGCTGTCGAGCAGTCGGCCATTCGGTTGTTCGGCCAACAGATTTTCACAGCAGTTAATGGACAAAGTGAAAGACAGCTATGGAGAGCAGCAGCAGGACGACTTTTGTTAACACACGCACACGCACACGCACACGCTCTCCCAGACTGTGTGTGCGTGTCTAGGCGCGCAGTTAACAATGCAAATGGCAAGCTGCGTGCTGGTTAGCCCGCAAAATGCAGCTGCCTTTGAGCGAAGCGTAACTGATATCAATCGCCAGCATTCATTTGCACTCCAAGTGCATTCCATCTACCATATGAAAGTCGAACCAAGTCAAGTGAGCAGCCTTTAAGCTGCACTTTACACATCAATCATCGTCTCACAACTGACAGCGAAACGAAGAAAATCCATTAAAGGGTTTAACTAGTTGATTTTTGAATCATTCATTTTAGCAACTTGCGCCTGGGAAAGTCAAGAAAGGTGCTTCATTTTTCATTGCGTTTCACATTGATAACAATCAAATAATTATTTTTTTACTATTTCATAAAGCAAAACAATTTACAAAATGTTTTGTTAATAGTTTCAATAAGTTTATGGCTTACAAATGCTATTTATTATTTGTATTTTACCATTTATTTATTTAAGCACCATTTAAGAAATGCATTCTTTAAAGTTTCTATTATTTCACAGTCATCAAATTGAATAGGCGATATTTATTAAAATATTTCAATTTTATAATTAAATCAAAGTACAAACTGTTAAACCTATTACTAAATTATTTTTTATGTTTTTTTATATTATATTATTTATTAAACGGCTTTATTGTATTTCTATATTTCTGGTTACATGAAAATTTCGGCTTTCTAACAAATTATTTATGTATAAATTGGGCTATGGCAAAAAATATTTCCAACATTATTTTAGAAACAGGAATTGATGTTTGTTCTTTGATTTTTAATGAACATTGTATATTAAAACTGGGACGTTATACAAACTTTAAAATAGAAAATTTGATTTTTTTATTCTCCTATGAATTGCTTGAAATCGAGCTATAATCAAACTATATATAGCTACCTTTAGGGCAGGGATAAAAGAACTGTTCTTGTGTCGTAGTATTAAATGTTAATATATACATTTAATTATAAAGTGTGTTCTCTTTTTGTATTATTCAACGATTGGCTTTCGATATTACTTCCGATTCTCTTAAATATTGCTTGAATTACACGCAATTGATCCAATGATCCACGCCAATTGCGTAGCGAAGCTTTTAGCAAATTTACGGCTCTTCATTTAAATCACGTAGCTCACAGCAGCTGAAGCCAACAGCAAAAAAAAAGCTGCATTCGCATTCGATAGAGTTAATAACAAGCTGTAAACAATGCTGCCATTTGCCTCTTGGAGCCGACCTCCTGCCCACGCAACGCCCACAAAAAAAGAAACAAAACTGATTCGAATGAAATAGTCGAGGAAATATTGAAAAGCACGGCACACAGAAAAATCTGCGCTGTTGTTGTCCTTGTTGTGTGTGGCACATCGAATGCAGCCCAGATGTCGCTCAGATTACGAACTTAATTGCCCCAGTGCAGGATATGAAGCCGTTTCGCATGCAACACACAAAAAAAAAGAATCCCTCAAAAAGCAAACAGCACAAAAAAAAAATACTAAATGGGGCTAGTGCAACATTTTTGGCTGGCTGCTGCGGGTGCCGCCGCGAGTAACAAAAGCAAACATACACAAAGAGCAAAAAAAAACAAACCAGGAAACGACAAAAAAAAATAGTGAAAAATGTCTGGGGTAAGCATTGAATGTGAAATGCGAAATATTCTGGCGTCCCTCTCGTAATGCCCAAATGCGATTTGTAGGCCCCGTGTGCGAGACGCCGGCCCTTTGGGCAAAGTTTGCGCGAAAGCGGCTTTTGAATTTTTCATGCATCAGCGAGCTAAAAGCGTCCTCCAAAATATTATGGCAATTGATATGTGGAGATAAATAACTAGTGAGTGTGCGCGTGGGTGTGTGTGCCTTCCATTTTGCTATAAATGCAAATACTGCATGGTTATTCAAAGTACAACAACCAACAAATACCTCTAGGCACTTGTTATCGATAAACGCTTTAATACACATTTAAGTTGAACTACTCGTAAACTATGTGAATATGTGTTTGCTCCATACTGAAAAATATATGTGAGCAATCGATCAAGAACCTCTAAACTCTAAAACTTATCTCGTTTTATTAACAAAAATTTGCATACACAAATATTTATATAACGTTAAATCGGTAATACCTTGCATATTGCCAAAGCTCCACAATAAGGAATTTAACATACTTTAAATTAATTATAAAGACCTGTTGTGATTCGAACCAGCAACCTTTATGATAGATAAAAACAAATTCCTGATTTATGATTGCATTGAATACAGCTTAAACTGACTTTCATTTCTGCAGTTGTTACACATTATGCCTTTTACAGGGTATACGCAAATGGATTGCTTTCAACTGCCACATATTTCGATTGATTTGTTATGGGTTATGGCTTATGGGTTGAGCCTATACAATCTCAACTCGAACGCCCACAAGTGCTGGTACTTATACTCAATCTCAATAGCCTTAACCGTGTGCATTGTAAATCTTTGCAATTTAAATCAACCTAAAACGTTTGTCATTTTGACTAATGGCTTATCAAACCCGAAAACCCGAAAAAAAGAGCAGAAAACAAAGAAAAACTCCTCTGGGTCTCGGCTGCGCTACAACTTCAAATGTTTGACAAAATTTATTGTATCGTAAATTTCGCATAACACAGAGGAC